ATACCAGAGCAGGTACCACCTTATTACAGTGAAAGGCATGTGTGTGTGTGTGTGTGTGTGTGTGTGTGTGTGTGTGTGTGTGTAAATATATATCCTTCCCGCTTTTCTCTCTGTTGCCCCTCTCCCTCCTTTCCCCTTTTCTCTCTCCTTTCTTGGATTTTTGAGACAGGACTTGCTAGGTAGCCAGGCTGGCCTCAAAAGACCCTCCTGTCTCATCCTGTGCGGTTCTGAGACTTCAGGTATATACACCCACACCTGACTTTTGTGTCTTATTGTTTGCTTGAAATTTTACCTTCAAACTCTTAACTTCAAGGTACTTGTGCATGGAATATAATTATGGCTATATTTAAAAAACATTATCACTGGGCGTGGTGTCAGTCTTGCATTTGGCTGGTGAATGCATGAGAATCAGAAGTTCAAAGTCACCCTTTGTCGTATAGTGAGCTTAAGAACAGCTTGGGCTTCGGAAGATCATCCATCCATCCATCCATCCATCCATCCATCCATCCATCCATCACATTTCTATTAAAATATTTGTTACTCTCAACTCTATGTTCTGTATCAGATCAGATCAATGATCTGAACAAACCACAAACCCCCAAAACAACCACTTACTTCAATTCACAAACTAAGGTGCCAGGTGTGGTGGCACATGCCTGCAATCCCAGAATGTGGGGAAGTAAAAACTGGATGATCAGTTCAAGGCAATCCTTGGCTAATTAGGAAGTTTCAGGCTAGCCTGGGTTACATGAAACTTTGTCTCAAAAAATTTAAAGCAAGACCTTCATTGGCAGGAGAGTGGCTTGGTGTAGTACTGTCGTAGAGGTCCGAGGTTCCACGCTCAGCATCAAAATCAGGTTCTCACAACTACCTGATCAGGGAATCCAATGCCTCTCACCTCCTGAGGTACCTGCGCTCAGGCACACAGACCCCACCCCTGCCATACATGCACATAGATAATTAAGAATAATGAAAATAAACTTGGCACAGTGGCACACCCCTGTAATCCCAGCACTAGGTAGGCAAAGGCAGGTGGATCTCTGTGAGTTCGAGGACAGCTAAGACTACACAGAAACCCTGTCTCGGGGTGTACATGAAGACACAACATTGTGAACATAATAAATCTTTTTTTTTTTTTTTAAAGGTACCTTCAGTTGGACCCAGGCCACTCTCATGTGTTAGTGCATGTAGGATCATACATGCAAAGAGCAGTCTGGCTGACCGTCTTCATGAAAACATGGGCCTTGCTAGTTGGGAGGCATTCGCTCCATTTCTGGGCACACAGACTTTGCGTCTCTTTTCGTCTACTTTCTCAAACCTTCCTAAAAGCACCCTGTGATAACTAGTAAACTTTTCTGGCGTCATTCTCTGTGGCCTTGCAAAATCTTGTTGGCATTGTAAAAGTTGTAGCCATGTTTGTTCACATCTAAAGAAAGACACCTTGGCAATTCTAGGAAATGGTCCGCGGTTGTGAGGTTCTACATGACGCCAAGGCTGTCCAAAGACCTTTCTAAACAGCATTTGGGGCCTGGGAAGAATGTCTTTACACAAAACAACGAGAATTCGGGTGTTCAGCCTCTCATGCTGTTGTCTCCAGCCACGTCTCTAGAAACTAGATGTAAGTTCTGTCTTTATGAGGACCTCATGAAGAATCGTTACAGTTTAGTACAGTGCACAGGTGTGTATGCGGGTGTGCTTGTGTGTGTATGAGCAAGTGCATAAGTGCTCGTGTGCGTGCCCATGAGTATGTGCATGTATCTGTGGTATACATGTGCATATTTGTGTATGTGGGATTACGTGTTTGTGCATGTAACGTGTGCAGGTGTGTGTGCCTGTGTATGCATGAGTATAGGTATGTGTGCATGTACATGTGTGCGGGTGTGTGTGCCTACATGTTCATATGTGTTAGTGTGTGCGTGTGTCTGTTCATGCCTGCACAGATGGGTATAAGTGTCTCTGTGAGTATGTGTGTATTTTCATGAATCTGTGCTTATGTGTGTTTGTGAGCGTGCATGTACGTGTGTGTGCATGAATGTATTCATTTGTGTACATATATAGGTGTGTATTTCTATATGTGTGTGTACACGTGCTGGTGTACATGAAGCCAACGGTCAATGTCGGGTGTCTTCCTCTATTTTCTCCATTTTATTTTATTATTAATATTTGTTGTTTGGTTTTTTGAGACAGGGTTTCTCTGTGTAGCCCTGGCTGTCCTGCCTCATTCTATAGACCAGGCTGGCCTCAGACAGACATCTGCCTGCCTCCGCCTCCCGAGTACTAGGACTACAGACATGTGCCATCATGCCCTGCTTCCGTTTTATTTTTTTAATAATTTTAATTTTGTGAGCCTTGATTGGTATGCCTTCATGTATGAGAGGTGTTCAGATCCCCTGGAACTAGATTTATAGTTGTGAGCTGTCATGTGGGTGCTGGGAACTGAACCCTGGTTCTCTGGAAGAACAGTCAAAGCTTTTAACTGCCAACCCGTCTCTCCAGCCCTCTGTTCATCTTATTGACCGAGGGTCTCTCACTGAACTTGGTGTTGCTGATTGGCTAGAGTAGCAGGCTGTTAAGCTCTAGGAATCTGCCTTCCATAGCCAACCCTCAGGATCTGAGGTTACCGATAGATGACATCTTCTGTGCCCTTCTTTTTACCTGGGTGCCAGGAATTCCTGTCCGGGTCTCCACTGAGCCATCTTCAAGCCTCTTAGCAGAGCTCAGAGAAGGCTTCCAGAGGCAACTATCTGCTTCCTTTACACTGATTCCCAGGTCGACACAAAGCACTCCATTTCTTTCTCATATTATTTATTTTTGGTTTTTGAAACAAGCTGTCTGATAGCCCTGGCTTGTTACGTGGCTGAGGCTGACCTTGAACTTCTGATCTACCTGTTTCTAATTCCCAAGTGCTGGGATTATAGGCAAAAGCTACGGCTCAGTATCTATTCCTGAGATAATGACTGCTGAAGTCATTGGTTCCCCACACCCATCTTCTTTTACCCTTAGAAGGTGCTTGTGAATAACAAAGAGACCGAAACAGGGGGTCCATGAGGGTCAGGATGGGGACCCACATGGACACTCACTGCTATTTCTTGGGAGTTGTCATTGCATCCTCAAACTCTGAGCTTGTTTTTGGTGGTGTTTGTTTGTTTGGTTGGTTTTTGTTGTTAAAGAACCACGATTTCTCAGGATAGTGTGCCTGGGTCTCTTCCAGCTGTTTCATAAGATTAGCTGTTTACCCAAAGTAAATCTGGACAAAGGGCAGAGTCCCTAGAACCTTCCTGCTCCAACACAAACCACACTTTCTGGCAAAGATGACCCTTTGCCCTAGTTTCTTTGTGTATGTGTTGTTTACTTGTTTGTTTTGAGGCAGGGTCTCAGGTAGCCCATGCTGACCTCAAGCTCATTATGTAGCCAAGGACGACCTTGAACTTCTAAAACTGCTGCTTCCACCTCTGGGACTACAAATGTGTACCCTCACACCAGTTCATGCAATGCTGAGGATTGAGGCCCGGGCCTGTGAATGTTGGGCAAGCACTCTACCAACTGAGCTACATTTCCAGCCTTCAGCCCTACTGTCTGAGCAGTAATGGACAGAGTTTTCTTTTTGTAAATCTCTTGGGCGGGATATGGTGGTGCACGCCTTCAATCCCAGTATTCAAAAGGCAGAAGCAGGTGGATCTCTGTGAGTCTGATGTCAGCCTTATCTACATCGTGAGTGGCAGGCTAGCCAATGCTACATTGTGAGATGGTGCCATTTAAAAAAAAAAAAAAAAAAAAGGCGCTCCCTGAGAGCCTCTGCATGAGGAGCATGAAGGGAAATGTTTTAGGGTTAAATCATCAGTTCTTTCAGCATGGGGCCCAAAGAACCTGAACAAGCCTCTGAGGGCTCCAAGACCTATGTCAGGGTGGACGGTGCTGCTCTGGAGCTCTGTGGTAATGTGCTGCCTGGTGTGTGCAAGGCTTGGCTCTCTGGGTTTAACCACCAGCTCTACAAAAAAAGAAGAAAAAGTTACTGTAGTCTCTACCTTCCCCTCCCTAGCAAGCTTGCTTTTCAAAAAACCAAACCAAAACAAAACAAAACATACACAAAACAACAAGCAGAAATAACCCCCCAAACCACCAGCCACTCCTTCTTACAAGTGTTCTCTGGAAAAATGGTGTCCGTTAGTAACTGGTCTAGAAAAATTGCCCAGGTTTTTGCCATTAGGGACATTTTAAGCCTTAGGGTAGAACTCCCACCAGGCTATTTCCCATCTTACCATTATTTCTGAGTGATCCGATGGTATATGGGCCAGCAGGACCCTAATTAACTGAAATCCTACTGTCCCAGACGTGGGGGAGGGGTGACCATATGCCAGTAGTCCTCCCCAAGCAAGCCTTCCGCCATGGCTGTGGTTCACCAGCGACAGAAGAACTTCCTCTTTAGAGTTCAGTTCCTTTTCATTTCTCTTGCTTGCTCAGAAATGATGAAAGAATGCCACAGAAAGGATGTGAGAGAGGGGCCAGAGTGGAGAAGAGGGAAAAAATTTCTCTCACAATAGGATATGTGCCTTCGATAATTGAATGCTGTCTGTATTATATCTTGGAGTTAGTTCAGAGTTTCTTTCTTAATCTCCAAGAACAAGACTAGACGGCTGGGTGGGGCAGTGCATGCCTTTTGTTCCAGCACTCTAGTATATCTCTGAAGTTGAGACCAGGCAGAAAACAGCAAAAACAAAACCAACCAACCAAACAAACAAACGATTATCCAAACACAGCCCCTGGGTACTTTGTGTACCATCTTGGAATGTGGCCTTTGGCTATAAAATAATTTTCTTAGAAATTGCTTAGCTGTTTTAAGTCTAAAACTAGTGCCTCCTTTTCCACTGATAAACTAAAAAATAACTTCTGGGCTGTATGTGTAGCTCAGTAGTAGAGTGTTTGCTTTCAAGTGAGGCCCAAGCACCACAAATAAAATTTCAGGGCAAATTTTGAATCTTCACAACACATGGATCCAGAAGTCCAGCTGTCAAAATAATTTTTAAAGGCTTTAACACAATCCAGGATAAGCTCGTCAACCTGTGCACTGTGCGTTATTTTACTCTGGTCTTCAGCACTATTGCTCATCAAACCAAATGCCCACTTAGTGGCTGAGTGAAGGGATTCAGAAGGCAGCTTTTCTGCCCTTTGAATAATTGAACAGGCAAAGCTGGTAACATGAGACATGCATAAATAGTTGGATCACATTCACCAAGCTCTTGGGGGTTTGTCTCCTTTGATCCCAGATCTCTTGCCTGGCTCTGGAAAGGGAGAAGCCAGTACCAGTACCAGTACCGAAAGGAAACTGCTCAGAACTCCGGTTTATGAGGGTTATTCCGACTCTGAGAAAGCATACATCTCAGGAGGGGCACATCTGGAGCAGTCTCCTGGATCTGAACTGAAGGTGTGTGTGCATCTGGCCTAACCTGGCTGCCCTTAGACCCAGGACAACACCTCGTATTCCTAAAATACTCTTTGGAGGTGGCTCCGGCCAGCCCTGGAGCTCCCAGCCATCATGAGAGGCAGGGACAGACACTCACATTCTACCCTCCGCAGCTCTTTCCACGCTGGCCCAGTTCAGCATCTCCTGCCTCTGCTGCCTTCTGGGAGCTGAGCAGAGCATCTGTGGCAGCCTGCATCCCCAGCTGCAGCTGTGCAAGTCAGAGCAGAGCCACGACCGCAGAGCACATGAGGGAAGTGGGACTTAGACACAAACATCCTGTCCTTTCTGTACCAAGTGGCTCCGCTCGAGACGCAGAGTCACCAAGCTGATTATTTATGTGGGACAGAACCACCCATCGACTCTCATAAGGTCATCTCTGGAGTCATAGCTAAGAGAGCTAGCTAGCATTTTCTCTCCAGCCCATCGACTCAGCCACCGGGCTGTTACTTGACTGTGACTGACACCAGGAGACAGTGACCAGGGGCTGAGCAGGGTGAACAAGAATGTTTCTCAGAGACAGGGAATTTCTTCTCAAGGTAGTGCGCTCAGGGTGAAAGTTTGCTTCCTCCAGTTTAAGAGCCGCGGTTGGAGTCTTTCCCACAGGTCCAGGGGCTTCCCCAGTTGCAAGCCTCACCTGGTGTAAGACCGCTTCCAGCTGAAGATCTCCTCCAGACTGGAAGAGGGGGAGGCGTCTCGCTTCTGCAGGCCTCCCCAGCGCCGCCGGCCCCCTAAAAATGAAGTCCTGCGCCTGCTCAGCCCTTTCATCCTCTCTTCAATTCGGAAGAATTCAGTCAGGGCCCTAAAGGACTCCAGGATGACCTCGTGGCTCCAGGCCGGCAAGGGCTCAGGGCGCAGGAAGCCGCAGTGGCCCCCGTGGCTACTGAGCAGCAGGAAGAAGTAAGGGTTGCTGTGGAAAAGCTCGGCGGGCAGAGTGCGGTCTGGGGGTCCGCACACCGGGTCGTCGGCACTGTAGATGCACAGCACAGGCACGGCGGCCTCGTCCACATCGCGCAGTGGGTCGTTGGCGTCCCAGTACGCGTCCCAGCTGATGGGACAACTCTTGGTGTGGCAGAACAGGGTCTCCTCAAACTCCCGCAGGGAACTGCTCCTGAAGAGCTTGCTGGTGTCCACGGTGTCCTCCAGGGCCGAGGCGTACCTGACCACAGAGGAGTGGGAGAGCGGGAGAGCGAAGGTCAGAGCATAAGATGACAGGCAGAGTTACTGCTGAGGCCACTCCCAGGCCAGAGTCTGGCCACACACGCTTCGGGCTTTTGAACTAAGGAAGAGAGCAGAGCTAGTAGTGCCACTCTTTAATCCCATTTCTCAGGGGGCAGTGGCCCTGGGGATCTCCCTGGGGAGTTCCAGGCAGTGAGTTTCTCTCCCTCTCTCCTTCCCTCTGTCCGTCCCTTTCCCTTCCTCCCCACCCCCCATCTCTCTCACACACAAGCAAACAACACAACCCCTTTTAAAGACGTATTTATTTTATGTGTATGAATGCTTTGCCTGCGTGTGTGTGTATGTGTGTGTGTGTGTGTGTGCCCATGCAAATCAGAAGCTCCCCTGAAACTAGAGTTCCAGAAGGCTGTGAGCCACCATGTGGACACTGAATCAGGGTCCTCTGCAAGAGCCATCTTTCTGGTCCTCCAAGCCCCTTTCATACTGTGGCCATCACTTAAAATCAGATTTCTAATAAAGCTGTGTGTCTGGCTTCTCCATTGGAGTGGTCAATCCTGTCATACTTGCCACCAGCCTTGTCATTTGTTCCTGGGATAACATTTGACTTCACAGCTGGTAACTATAGGGGCAGCTCTCTCTGTAACCGCAGCTTTTGACTCTTTCCAAGGAACCCAGGACCTATCTTCTCTAAGGCACATCCTGAGAGAACCTCTCCCACAATTAATCACTGTTTTTTGTTTGTTTGTTTGTTGTTTTCCAAGACGGGGTGTAGCTGCGGCTGTTCTGGAACTCTGCAGACCAGGCCATCCTCGAGCTAATCGCTGTTTTATCCCACTTGTTGCCTTTGTTTTCCCCTGGCGTGCTCCTTGCAAGTACTTGGTGACAGATAAAACTGGGGCCTGCAAACCGCCCTCGAAGAGGGGCTGTGCTGCGCCAGCTCCCTGGAGGGGGCCTGGAAGGGCACAAGGAGGCCAGGGTGGGCAGCTCCTCCCTTCAGGCGGATTAAGCTAGCCTCAGCCAGTTGAATTTAGATCTGTGCCTGAGTTTCCAAACCCAGAATTCCATGGGAAGAGTGGTTTCTCAAGGCACGGGTTCCCTCTCCATTTCCCTTACCCAACTTCTGGCTTGTGCCCATGGTAAGCACTGATGGTGGTCATTTTGGAGTGGAAACTATGGCAATTAAGTTAGATGAGAGCACCCTGTCCCTGTATTAAACCTCTGAGTTGCCATGGCAGCACCTTTCCCTTGTTCATTCAGCCGCAGGGTTTGACCTTTTCAAAATAAGAGGTAAAATGGCAAAAAAAAAAAAAAAAAAAAAAAAAAAAAAGCCACCGCTGCAGGGCCCAGGCTCTTGTGTGTCATTTAATGACCACACCCACACGCAGAGGTGTTATCATTAACTCCACTCGGCTGAAGTGGGTCCTACAGGCGTGAGGACCTGAAGGTACATTTCCTGTACATTCAGGACTGAACCGGGCCAGGCCTGACACCACAGCCTGGGCTTTCCTGTTTGTTGCCAGAATGCCTCTGACCTCATTCTGCCGTCTCTTAGGAAGGTCTATGGAACAGTCTTGCCTGGTGTTAAAATCGTTCTCCTTTTGGAGATTTAAGAGTTTGGTGTTTTTCAGTAGCTGTGTGCAGTGCCTGTCACCTCTGCACTTAGGGGGCGGAGGCCTGGGGCAGCCCGAGTTACGTGAGACCTTGTCTCAGAAAGAACAAACAAACGACTAAGTGTTGCGTACTCACCTAGAAACATGCAAAACATCTGTCAGTTTAAAGAATTTTTAATAAATCAAATGCTGCCACATTGCTCATTCCTGCTGCCTCCTGGCTCAGAGGCTGAAAGCAAACAATCTGGGCAGATAATCGGCTGCAATTGCTTCCAGAGCTCTGTTTGCTGACCTATCTGGCTATGGACTAAGTGGTAAACGTCAGGCGCAGGCCTCTGCTGACCACCGGTTGCTAGGACACCTGAGAGGAGATGAACTAACTGATGGGCCCTGGCAGAATACTGACTCAGGCCATGAGGCGCTCTCTGGCTTTGAAACCCACTTTCCTAGTTCTATCTCTATTATAGGGTTTGCACAGCTTTGGAAATCGTAGAAGTTTGCCCTAGCCGACCCACAACGGTCCATTTCCACTCCACGCAGAGCTGTAGACTCCCGTTACCCACCTGCTGAGAGCCATTTTCTGGTGTAGCAGGAACCCACGCTCATATGGCCAAGGCAAGCCAGCCTCGAACCACTCGCGACAGCGTAGCACGGGGGAGATGCAGGCGGCACCGGTCACATAGCTGGAGGAGCCGCACTCCCCTAAGTAGGACAGGAGCAGCGCGGACCCCGAGCCCTCGCTCACCGCGAACAGGGAGGCCGCTGGGTGTCGGAAGCGAATGTAAGTCACGGCCTCCTTGAGGTCGGTTGGGTCCCCAAAAGACTGGAGCCGGGGATTGACCAGCGGGCAGCCGTGGTGGCCGCGGCGATGGAATATGACCGGGTAGTAGCCCCGCTCCAGGGCGAGCAGGCACAGCCCCTGCACGTTGCGCGTGAGGCGTCCCCACGCGTTGGGGATGACCAGCAGCACGGGCGGAAGGCTCCCCGTGCCGGTGACCCGGCGGCCCCTGGCGCAGGGTCCTACGACCCAGTCCAGGGCCACCAGCCCGTCGTCTGCCAGCTGCAGGTACTCACGGGCTAGCTCGGGCCCGGGCCCGACGGGCAGGAGGAAGTGGCGGAAGGTCTGCAGGTGGGGCCCCGACAGCCAGGAGCGCGGGCCGGGTTCGAGCGCCGCCGAGCGCCGCAGGACGCGCAGCAGGCACTGGGCCAGCGCCGACGGCTTGCAGATGAGGCTGCAGCCGCCGGGGAGCGGTTCGCGCCGGTCGCTGAACCGGTCCGCGGGGCCTCGGCTCCCCGCCTCCTGCTCCCCGTGCTCCCCACCCGGGGCTCGCGCTCCGACGGCGCGCTTCCAGGGGCGCAGCAGGAGCAGGCCGAGCGCTGCCAGCAGCAGCGCGAGGGCGGCCGCCCACGGAGGCATGGCCCGGCGGGACGGCCCCAGGCGGGCGGCCGGGGCTGCGGGGAGCGGAGCCGTCCCCTCGCCGGGCTCCCCGCTCTGCGCGCGGCCCCGCCCGCCCGCCCGCCGCTGCCCGCGGTCCTCCCGAGCGGGAGGGCGCGCGCGTTCCCGATTGGTCGCGGCCGGGCGCAGACAGCCAGTTCGGGGCGAGCTCCCCTCGCCCGCCCCGCACGCCCGCCCCCAGCCCTTTGTACAGCGATTGCTGTAGCAGGAGCAGACAACAGGAGCAGAGGGTGAAAGAGATCCGGGCCACAGAGGGGAGCGGGGACGCGGGAGCGAACGGAGAGAGGGGCCTGGGGAGGAGGGGCTGGGGGCACTGAGGCTGGGAGGCCTGGGGAGCACGAGGCGCCTGCTCCTACCCCCCGCGATGTCTGGCCGCCCGGGGAGACTCGCTCGCTGCGCCCGCAGGATCCGCTATTGATGAGAAAAAACAAAAACAAACAAAACAACAACAACTGGGAGGGAGTAAAGCGCTGCGCGATCCCCCGCCGGCTTCACTTGACCCACTCGCGGCTCGTCCGTTGCTTTCCTTCACCTGGGTCTGCGGCCCAGCCAGACCCACCAGCGGAGCGAGAACGCGGGACTGCTGGGGGTGGGTGTCTGCCCCTGGCCAGAGGCTGACCGCAGTCTGACGCTGAGCACGGGTTCGAGGGAGGCGGCTGTCGCTTCTCTGGGGGGCATCTGGGAGCTGGACCACCCCAAGAGCCTGTTCACCGGGAAGGGTTGCAGAAGAGCGAGCCTCAAATTGGACAGAATAAGTTACGGGGGAGGATTAAGGGATGCTTAGCCTCCCCCGCCCCCCCCCCTGGGGCCATGACAGAGGTTTTTCCTCCTTGTGTAGCCCAGGCTGGCCTCGAACTCACAGCGGCCGCCTGCTCTGCCTCCCTGGGCGCTGGGATTAAAGGTGTGCGCCACCGCGCCTGGCTATGTTGTGTTTCTTTCGGTCGTATTTGTAAGTCAGGGCGGATGCCTGAAATAACGATTTCTGCTGTATTTCGAACTTCAAAAAACTGTATTGCGTGTGTGGGTGGGTGAGAGGACGGCCTGTGGGGGTCAGGTTGTCGGCTGGCGGCAACCGTCGCCCACTGAGCCAGCTCGCAGGCCTGCGCAGGCTTGTGTGCTGGGCGTCAGTCCTCGCGCGGTCCCCGGCTCCACTGCGGCGCTCTGTGCGCCCCGACCGTGGCTCAGGTCACCGCGGGCGAAGGACGAGAGCGCTCGGGGCTCAGCGAGGGCAGGGATGGGGCGGCGTGAAGGCGAAGCTCCAGAGCCGCGACCCTCTCTCGGGGACAGCTGGGAGTGGCCTTCAGGTCACAGCGAATGTTTAGCCGAAGAGCACAAGGGTCCGCCTGGGTCACCCTTCCCGCCCTTTGCCGGGTTCCCAGATTCCACCCAGGCGACGCAGCTGCGCCCTGCGGGTGGCGCAAACGCGCGGGGACGCTCGTGGGCGGGGGGAGATGGTCCCGTCGGCTCGGACACTGGGAGACCCGCGGGGCGCACAACTTTTCCGGCTGAAGCTCAGGACGCTTGCGCGGGCGGGCCTGGCGGGGGCGTGGCCTGGCGGGGGGGGCGTGGCGCGGCGGGGGCGGGTCTGGCGATAGGCGTGTCGTGGTGGGGGCGTGGCTTAGTCGGAGGCGGGTCTTGGCGGGGGCGTGGCGTGGCGGGGGCGTGGCGTGGCGGGGGCGGGCCTGGCGGTAGGGGGGCGGAGCACGCGGCGGGACGAGGAGGGAGAGGGAGTGTGCGCGAGCCGGGGTCTACGTGGGCGCGCGAGCGGCGCGGGGCCGCGGGGGCGCGCGAGCGGCCCTGCTGCTGGTTGGCGGGACTGGCGGCCCCGCCGAAATGGTTCCTCCTCCTCCACCTCCGCGCCGGTTGCTCCTGGTAGCCCTGGTGGGGCTCCTGAGTGTTTGCGAGGTAGGGCGCCCGGCTCCGGGTAAGGCTTTGGCCGGGGAGCTCCAGGCGCCCGGCTACAACTTTGTCCCGGGAGGAGAGGCGCGCGCGAGGGCATTCCGGGGGGGCCCCCCTTCGGCAGCGACCCTACGCCTGGGGCCGAAAGGGCGGGGCCCTCGCCGAGGCCAGCGCTCAGCTCCTCGCTTGGACCCAACAGGTGGTGGCTGAGCCGGCGGAGGAGGCAGGAACCCGTTGTCGCGAAGGCCTGTGGCCTCTGCCTCCACAGGTAGGAACCCCGGAGGGCCGCGGACCGGAGGGTACGCACAGCCTCTCTGCACCGTCGGTGGTCGCCCTGTTGGGACATCTGTTGGTTCCTCCTGCCCTCAGTCTCCAGCGTCTTCATCTCAGCCCAGGGCGTGGGGCTGGTTGTCCCCTCCACGCCCAACACGAAGTCTCCAGCTGCTTTCTTCTTTCTCCATGTGTAGGTGTTACCAAGAGTGGCTTTCACACAGGTGAGACAAGGACAGGTAAGGATGTTGGTATTCGTCCCCGGGGGCAGAGTGCTCCTCGCAGGTTACTTCTCCCTCCTGGCTCTCAGCTCCATTCTTTACAACTTTGTCCGGAAAGAGGTAAGGCTTCCAGTTGCCCGTCCCAGGTGACGATGGCGAGCCGCTCTGCAGTGTCGCAGGGTCCGGGGTGCTGATGAGCAGCTACACGTGCGGCGAGTAACTCCAGGTGGAACTCTGACGGCAGCAGGTAGCAAAACCGACCCACATCCCGGTGCCGGTGCAGCTTGGAGGTCTCTTGTTTTCCAAGGTTCTGATTTTCTACAAGAGATGGTGTTCTGTCCCTTCAGCTTTGACAAGCAGATGAATAGTGTCTGCGTCACAAAATCCCTCTATCAAGTTAGGAGTGTGTGCTTTACTATGTTGTAAACTGACTTCAACTTTCATGACTGCTCTCTTTTTTTAAAAAAAATAATTTAGGTTTATTTTATGGGTATGAATTTTGCCTGTGTTTTTTTGTTTTTTGTTTTTTTCAAGACAGCATTTCTCTGTGTAGCCGTTGGCTGTCTTGGAACTCACTCTGTAGACCAGGCAACAGAGGTCCACCTGTGTCTGGGTTTCATATAGCCCAGGCTGACCTCAGACTTGCTATGTAGCCAAGGATGATTTGAACTCCTCATCCTTCTGCCTCCACCATCTGACTACAGCGAACCTGCCATGGCTGAGTTCTCCTGCCTGACTTGTCAGGACTTAAATTATCTTCATCTGATTTCTTTTTTTTTTTTTAAGATTTATTATTTATACAACATTCTGCCTGCACACCAGATCTTACTATAGATGGTTATGAACCACCATGTGGTTGCTGGGAACTGAACTCAGGACCTTTGGAAGAACAGCGAGTTGTTCTTAACCTCCGAGCCATCTCTCCAGCCCTTGTCTGATTTCCTAGTTAGTGTGTCTCCATCATAATGGGTCCTCACCACACACGTGAATTCAGGCTCATTTCTGCGGAGATACCTACTTTCTTTTCTCTGTCAGGACCGAAACACGCCGCAGCTATCACCGACCATTTTCAAAGCTCAGTGCAGGAGTTGCAGCACCCACCCCCTGTCCCCTAGCCTTGTCTGCTTTACCCCACGCTCTTTTAGTTAATTAAGCTAGCTGGACTTGGTGGCACAGGCTTTTATAATCCCAGCTGCTTGGGAGGCTGAGGCAGGAGGATTAAAGGTGAACTCAAGGCCAGCCTGGACAACTTTGTATGACTCTGTTTTAAAATTTAAGGGGAAAAAAAGTGAAAAGACAGTCGAGGATATAGCTTGCTGGTAGAGCATTTTGTGTGGGTTCAAATCCCTGGAGCCTACAACAGCCCAACCCAACCCGCACACACACACACACACACACATACACACACATACACACACACACACACACTTTTGCGTTGTATCAGTTTTTTTACTTCGCTGAATTTCTCTTGCTCTACTCCCTGGTCGGGTCTCCTGGCCTAAGGTGGCCCGGAATTCACTGTGAGTCCTGGGCTGGCCTTAAACTTGTCATCTTCTTACATTATGCTCCAAATGGCTGGGATTACAGGTATGCACCGTCACACCCAGCCTTCCCCGAGTTCCTCATACATTCCTCAAGGTGCAGGAATTCTCTTGGTCTTCATCTGAGGGACAGAATCTAGATATGGGACTTGTAGAGCCATTGTTTCACTTTCAGAGAAATAGAGCTGAAGACTGTTCAGGGCCAGGGATGTAGATCAGGGGTGAAAAAAGACCCTGGTATTGCTCTCCAGCACCACAAGTGAGGCCAGGGCAGCATGTTCTGCGTCTAACAGGGTTACTTAGCCATGCTGGCACATGGAGAAGAGAGGTGAATTAGAAAGTGTATGCAAGTACACAAGGCCCTTTGCCCTTCCTGGAAGTGGAAGGGTACTTTCTGATGACCCCTTTATCTTGGAGCCAAGGATGGGAGAAATTGTGATTCTCTGTGAGGGAGCTGGGTCTGGCTTGAGATCTCTGCCTTTCCTCCAGGTTGAGGGCATCGCCTTCTTCTATCACCCCTGTGCCCACCCCTGGCTGAAGCTCCAGCTTGCTCTCTTGGCCCGTGTGTGTGTGGCTAAACCCACACTCATTCCTGACTCCAATCTCACTTGGGACCGGGTAAGTTGTTAGCAAAAAGTGTAAAAAAAGTAAAATGTAAAAAAAAAAAAAAAAAAAAAAGCCAGGCAAAGTGGCCAACGTCTTTAATCTTGCACTTGCACTTTGGAAGCAGAGGCAGGCAGATCTGAGTTTGTGGCCAGCATGGTCTACAGAGTGAGTTCCAGAAGAGCCAGGGCTACATAGTGAAGCCCTGTCTTACAGGCCACCCCTACCCCAAAACTCGGGGGCTCTGTCACCTTAGCTCTCAGTTGCCTTCTTTCATAGCCCTTGGTGCTGGCGGCCTGGGGGACGGCACTGGAGATGTCGTGGATAGAGCCAGCCTGGGTCGCCCACTGGCTGAAGAGGCGGCGTCGGCGGAAGCAGAGGAGGAGTGCGTGGCTTCTCCCCGACACTCTCTCTGGGCCCGCTCCCACGAGGCTAGCCTCCAGCAGAGGGAAGCTGTGTGGGAGACGGTGTGTACAGGTGAGGGTGCTGGGGCCACGCGTGGTGTTGAGAGCACTGGAGCCGGGCAGGCGCTGATCACTCTTCTTCACGCTAGGCCCCGACCCTGGCCTTTGCTCTGCGGAGCTGGAGGCCTCCCGGAGCAGAGGTGACGTCTAAAGGACTCAGGAGGCCCTCTCTCAGTGTTGTCAAGAGAAGAGGGCTCCGGGCTGCCCTTGGTCTCCAATCCACTCCCTCAGGCCTGGGGGTTTCCTTGACCTCACAGAGCCTGAAGGCCCAGGAGCCAACTTTGGGAACCTCATCTGTGGCCCCTGTGTCTCTGATGACGGGGGGACCTGGAGGCAATGGTAGGTCCAGGACAGAAGCTCAGATGCCCAGTGGGCAAGGCAACCCAGGAGGATGTGCCTGTCCTGGTCAGGCTTCCCCAGCTCCTCGAGCCGTAGTACCTCCCCAGGTGGCCCGGGGGCCTACTCCACGCACTGAAGAGGCCGCTTGGGCTGCCATGGCCCTGACTTTCCTGCTGGTCCTGCTCACCCTGGCCACGCTCTGCACGCGACTGCACCGGAACTTCCGCAGGAGCGAGAGTATCTACTGGGGGCCCACGGCAGACAGCCAGGACACGGTGGCCGGTGAGGAGACCCCCACGCCCCCGCGGGTGCGCCCAGCCCCGGAATCCCTTGTCCTTGACCTCTCGCCCTCCCACAGCTGTGCTGAAGCGGAGGCTGCCGCTGCCCTCGCGCCGGCCCAAGCGGTCGCGCAGGCGGCCGCTGCTCCCGCCCACACCGGATAGTGGCCCTGACTCGGAGAGCTCAGACTGAGCGGCCTCGCCCCCTGCCACGTGGACGGCGCCCGGGCGCCACCTGGCTGCCGCGGAGAGGCCCTGCAGGCTTCCTGTGGTGCCCCTCTAGCCTCCCTGATGTGAATCCCTGTCTCTAATTAAATTATTTTAGTATAACTGTGTTGGGCAAGTCACACTCCCTCAGGTCACCAGCCCAGAGCTATCTGGATACCATCAGGCCTATCAGAAACACTTCTAGCGAAGTGGCTTGTGTGTAGCTCCGGCGCTGGCGCTCTTCACTCGCTCATCTTTTTGCGGGTCTCCCCCGCCTAACGCACACTCTTGTCTTCACCCCCAATCCCCGTAGCCCAGCTCTAAACTTGCTGTCCAGCCTCAGCCTCCTAAGCATTCAGATGGAGGAAGGTGACAATGTTAAGTGGCCGGGATGACGAGCCAAACGGAACTACTTGGCTCAGCCCCACCTCCAACCTTAGACATCTGAAGTGGCACATGGTCACTTATTTATTTTTGATACAAATGTACATGACACACGTCTTGACAGCCACCCACCACCACAGGTAGGGCTGGGCCACCGAGGCAAGGTGGTTGGGAGGAGAGCTGGTGGGTGCTGTCAGTGCCTTGCCAGCCTTCCCAGCGGCAGCCAGATCCCCAGGCCTCCAGGGGTCGGGTCACTGTAGTGTAGGTGCAGGTAGTGATGTAGGTGCTGGCCTTGCAGAGGCGAGGGGGAGGGGCTCAGTTCCACAGCCACCAGCTGAGTTGGGGACCCTGGGGAGCCAGCCCCAGGCGCTCTGTCCTCTGCCTGGCCAGCACACTTCCCACAGGGGATGGGGCGAGATGGAGGGAAGTGGTTTTCCTTTTAAGTTTATAGGCAGGGGCACAGGTAGGGGCAGCAACCGGGCCACAGCTGGTGAACCTGACAGCCCCCGTCCCGGAGCAGGGAGAGGGAAGCTGACCCCAACGCTGGTCCCACTACTCCGGTCCCCTTGCCCCTCAAAGCCCCAGGTCGGCCAGGTCTCTGGAACGGCACTGCCGCTCACAAACTCAGTCGCAGGCGCGCGGGGACACCCAGTTACCACAAAGTTAAAATTAAAGGGTAGGGAGACTTTCCAGTGTTTGCTGCTGGGGACCCTGGCACACAAGTTGGGGCCTGTGCTCTAGGCAGGGGCCATTTGGCATGAAAGAGCAGCACGGGGGGGGGGGGCTGATGGCTACAGGGCAGAGACATCCAGAGATAATGTACAAAGGAGGGGGATGCCCCTGCTCAGCCCCCCTAGGGCTAGACTGGCTCATGGGGATAGGGTGCAGATGGAGGAGCTGCCCCGTCTGAAGTGTCCCTGTCCCACCCTTTGCTGAGGGTGCCCTGGAAGGCAGGGTGAGGGGCCGGGAGGGAGTCCTTGAGGCTCCTGCACATTAGCAGGGCAGGGATGCTATGTACAGGGGGAGGGGTGTGGAGTGTCGGGGACAAAAGCCCCTGACATCTCACATTCCCATCCTTGGGGCTTGAGGGGGTGGGCACCAGGGCACCTGGATGCCAGAGGAGAAAATGCGGCACTAAGGGCACTTGTGCCAGTGGCTCTTGTTGGGGGTGGGTTAGTGTCTGGAGTGGCCCAGCTCCCATGGCCAGTGAGGTCCCCGGGTGTGGGTGAGGGCAGGGAAAGTGGTCACTGTTTCTTCTCTCGGGTGGTGATGGTGACCAGCTGCTTGGCAGCCTTGGCGATGTCATAGGCGCACTGGATCACTTGCTGAGTCAGTAGCTGGAAGTCCACCGGGGCACCGGGCTCTGGAGGCACAGTCTTCCGGCACTCACTCTGCAGCCGGTAGGCGCTGGCGTTGAGCAGCCGCAGTGAACTGCGCACAGGCTCCAGGGCTGGCCTCTGCAGGGAGGAGCAAGGAGAGGCTGAGCCCTGGACTTTACACCCGGTTTCTGATTGAGGCTCAGCGTGCTCACCTCTACCCAGCAGCAGCCGGGGCACCTGCACATGTCCCACCCACTTCTGCATCTGTGGCCCCTGTACCTTTGGGAAGAGAGAGGCCATCTCAGTCACAGCCAAATGGATCTTTTCTGAACAGGGCACAAAGCTGTCAGGGGAGAGGAGTTGGATGAGTGATTTCTCAGCGTCCCAGTCAAGAGGATCCCAGCAGGTGTCCCTTCCACCCCAGGACCAAGAGGTTAGCAGGAACCTGTGCCCACCCTACCTGTCATGCTTGAACTCCTGGGCTGCCCGCAATAGTTCCTGGATGTTCTTGGTGACCTGCTCTGTCTTTAGGATGACATCTTCAGTGCTGGGGAGCCCGGGGTCTAAGTCTCCATCCAGGCTCTCCAGCTCAGGGTGCAGCTCATCCTCCTTGCCCAGCTCTAGGAAGCGCTTCCCTTCAAGCCTAAGCCCGAGTGGGGAGAGAAAAGAAGCCATTTCAGCCGCTGACGGCTTGCCTGCACTGTCTGGCTAGGGCCTCACCACCTCCCTCCAGGTGCTGGCAGGGTGGGGAGGACCACAGGTGTCTCACCCAAGCAGAGGGTCCCCACTCTGCGTGTTCTCATAGTCACTGTCTGCGCCACTGCCATGGCGTGAAAGCTTGCTCTGGAGGGTGGAGGGGAGGGTGGGGGTGAGCACGCCTTCCTGGACCTGCACCAGCCCACACACTGCCCCCGGGCACACACTGCCCCCGGGCACTGGGATGGAAATTACCGCATGGCGACTTCCTTCTTGAGAGCACGACAGCAGTGGGGATGAGGGAGTGAAGGGCACAGAAGAGGCAGACACCCCCTTCCGGATCTGAAAGCCAGGGCATGGCCAGAGTCAGTGTCCAGCTGTGGCCCAGTGCGTGTCCCGGCGCAGCCTGACAGCTGCCGGGGCTGGTGGTGCACTGGGGCAGGGCCACCCTCCTTCCCCTGGTCCCGCTTACCCGGTAATGGCCAGCAGGGATGTGCACTGAGTAGATGGCATCATCTTCCAGCTCCTGTGGGAGGCAGCAGTGTCAGGACAGCCTTCTGTCAGTGAGACCCTCATCTCCCCACCCACGGCCCACGGGCTGCTCACGGTGCTGTGGAAAGGCTGGAGCCGCGTGCTGAGCTCGTCCCCAGGTGCACCTCCAAAAGGCTTCAGGGCGGAGCCCGGCTCATACATGGAGAAAGCCTGGCGGTCCCTGCGGTGAGTGCTCCCTCCGGGCCCCATGGCTGTGTGTTCTGCCCGATCACTGGGAAGTGAGGGTGCAGGCACTGGCCCTGCCGGCTGCCGGAGCTGCAGGTTCTCTGCCTGCAGTTTGTTGATCTGAGTGTACACAGTGGTGTCCAACTCTGGGTCAAGGCAGGTACCACCTTTGGAAAGGGGGACCTGACTCCCAGAGCCCTGGATGTTTTCTTGCACGCCCCCAGCCCCAGTGCTCACCTCCCTCTGTAGCTTCCGGAGCTCATCGCTCAGGCTGCTGTTGACCTTCATGAGCTGCTGCACTTTGGCCTCAGAGGTGGCCAGCGCCTTCTTTAGCTCCAGGTACTCCTGCAGCGTCACAGCCCCGTCAGACAGGTCTGAAGAGTCCATGCTCTGCAGAGACAAAAGCCAGGTGGTCTCAGGGCAGAGGCTGACCAGATCCTTTGATTTAAAGACCCTGGGCTGGATACAGCACGAAGCTGGGTCCAGAAAGACCACAACAGAGGAGAGTGTGGAAGGGAACAGCAGGGACAGTATTCAGACCCTGGCGCGGTTGTTCCGTGTGGCACCCGTGCTGGGCAAAGGCTCCTGGTCAGTGTCCTCATCGGAAGCCACGCTATCATAGTCATGCTGGTCGTCCAGGTCACTGGTCCGTGCAGGCAGCTCCAGGTTTTCTAAAGACACAATGTCTGTCACTTGGGGCTTTAAGCCACACAGAGCACTTATCAAGATCCCGGGCAAAGGTGACACCTGGGTTTGGAACACGCCTTGGCCTGCCCACCTGTGGGGCTGCTGAGACTCTTGCCCTGCTGCCTCCGCTTGGCCTCACTGAGAATGTCGATGATCAAGGTTGCAAACTCCCGGGCATTAAAACGGGCCAACTTCTGTCGTCCCTGCAAGGCAGAGAGGGCAAGGCCAGCATGAGGGGCCTCTCTTAGTAGCAGGACCCTGCCACCCCATCTATTCACAGCTAAAAACATCCCAGCTCAGCATCATCTAGGTGGTCCGCAGTGAGCAGCAAAGGCTTAAGGCACCCAGGAGAGCCCTCAGAAGAAAGGCTGAGCACCCACCAGTGCTAGAGAATAGCTTCATCCCATTCCTAGTCTAACCCTGAGGGAGGCCTCAGGAGACCTGGCCTGGGTGCCAGCCCACCTCCAACTAAGGAAGGGCAAGGCTCTCAGAAAAAGAGGAAAAAAAAAAAAAAAAAAAGATAGCCAGGCCTCCCGCCTATCCCCACTCACCTGATTCCGAGTGGCTGAGTACTCAGGGTTGACTGGCAGGAAGGGCACAGCGCTGCGCTCTGTCACCAGGGTGCTGTGGTTTTGGGTGGCCAGCCACACTGTGGGGGAGGGGCAAGGAGCAGATCACCCATTGTGACTGGGGCCTCAGAGAAGAGGTGGAGAAACACTGAGAGAGATCCCCTCCCAGGCCCTCCCTATTCCCACTGAGCCAGTGTCACAGGAAGCAGGGGTCTCCTGAACACAAAAGCTGGGCAGGCCCAGTGAAGTCCGCCCACTGACGAACAGAACAAGGCAGCGCTCACAAGCCCAGACCCAGAGTTTGGGGTGGAATCTGGCTGTGGCCAGGAAGGAGTGATGTGGGGGTGGGGGTTGGGAGTGGGTGGAGCAGGGCTGGGGAGACAGCCAAAGTGGGAGGTAGCCAGAGCAAGAGCTTTAGTGTCTGGTGGGCAGGGAGGCAGCTGGCTGCCTACAGCTCAGCACTGCCCAGCGGGGGATGGCAGGGACCTACCCCAGCAGGCCTCACAGCGGCCTCAGCCCAGCTACCCATCCTCAGTCCCCTGAAGGACGGGTCTCTTCCTCTTTGTAATAGGACCCTTGGCACTCACCAGCATCGTTTTCTCTCCGATCCACCTCATCATACACGTCCATGGCAAGTTCTTCAAAAAGCCGGTTGCTGAGCTAGAGGCAGAGAGGGACCCAGGTCAGTCAGGATGTGTGATTTGGGCAAGCCTCATGATCCCTGGGTCACCCACTAAGCCTGTCT